AAGTACTATACTTTAACTCTTATTAAAAAAAGGAAGCATGCCCTTGTGAGTGCAATTTGTCCTAGAAGAACTGAAACCCCCTCTACTCCCTCATCCATCCACATTTTAAGGAAAGCACAGTTATGCCTGCTGGAATTTTTTAGGTTCTTTGCCATTTTTTTTAGATCCTTTGTTACATGCCCCTAAATTTTACCTCCAACTTATCCCCAGGTTGTATCAAACCCCACAATTTTGGCTCCCCAATCTGCTTTCAACTTTTACGTGAGGTCAACTTATAGTCAAGTATATACGGTATGATGATTCTTCTTGATGGCTTGATTTAATGAGAAATGATCAAAATCTGCACCCCAAGCTCTTGCATCGTCAGAAATAGGACTATCACATATGGCTTATAACCATCATAAAGGTTTAATAATAGCACTTTTGGTGATGCCTATCACATAATGCCATTGCTCTCTTGTCATTGCCTTGTCCTGGAAATGTGGTTAGTCTGCACTTTGCCATCAATAAGCTCCCAGTAGCTTTGGTACAGCACTAGTCCCCAGATGCGATGTTATTCCCATGGCAGTCCCAGGCTTGCACTCATGTGGTGTCAGTGTCTCATCCTTTCCCCCCATTTCCCTTCACTGTCCCAGAAAAGCCCTTCCAACCACACCGCTGGCCCCAAGAACATGGTAAAGGGAGATGGAACAACTGCATGGGCCAGCAGTGGCTGCTTTAATTTTTTTTTGTTCTTTCAGACACATGCGCATGTGCACAGGAACACATCCCTGCACACCTGCGCTCCTGTGCAGAGCATGTCATAGGCTTGTCTACAACCTGTCACTTTCTGTGTTCAACGATGACTGAAGTTCAGCATCCCTGCACACCTGAACAGAACATGTCATAGGGTGGCATACAGTCTGTCATTTTGTCTGTATAAAGGTGAATGATGTTCAGCATCCCTGTGCGCTTGTGCAGGACCTGTCATACACACACAGATCATGCAAGCATTTGCTGACCTTGGCTTCCCCCAAGTAGTGAGTGCCATAGACAAGTGTCACTGCCTGACTGTGCCACCCTTGAGGTGGAGGAATGAGTTTGTCAACTGAAAAAACACCTACTCTGTCATCCTCCACAAAACATTCCCCATTCATATCAGGGAGGTTTGTGTGGACAGACTGGATGCATGCAGCTGGTCGTCATGCAAGGGACATGGTCAACAGGACACACAGACAAATGCTACTCCAGTAGCCGCCCCCCATCATGCCAGGAAGTGGTGTACAGGTCTTATGCACACTGCACACCTGTGCAGAAGAGGTCGCAAAAGCCTCTTTCATGCAAACTACTGTGCATGCTGACAGCAAGTGTACATACAACGGAATGCATTTATTATCATAATAGAGAACAGTTGCTAGGGCGCATGTATAGGGCTAGAATTAGGTTTAGTGCTAGGGTTCTAATATTAAAGCACACCTGCGGTGGTGCATCCACACCTGGAAGCATAGGCCACTTTAAATTAAAGCCTGCATCATAGGGCGCATGCTCTGGTTTGCTGACTCAATTTCCATCACACGTGTGGTGGTGCACTTATATGGCCATTTTAAAATGCCGACACCCTTTTTCTGACACACCAGTGTCGCTGTATACATACACACATGCGAAGGTGCACATCTTTCCAGAAGAAGAGGAAAAAGGCTGCTCCTTTTTGGAGCGGCTCTTTCAAGCATACGGCATCTAGAGGGCACTTTTCTGCTGGCTTTTAGGCATGCATCATCTAAATACCATGCCTCCAAGTCAACCTTAAAGCACCTCTTTTTGCCTGTCTGTACAGCCCTAAAATAAGCAAAAACTCACCAAGACCTCTGCTTTCAGCCCTCTACTTCTCCAGCTCTCAGGACTGACTGACTTTTTTATCCCTTTTCCAAAAAAAAGTAATTGCTTCTCCCTGGAAGTCTCTGGGAGTGGCAATTCACCTTTTAAAAGGTTGCAAGGCCCCTTTAAAACTAAAAAAAAAACCTTTAAAAATCTAGTTTTTCAAAACCAGAAGCTGACAGTTTGGGTCTTGTTTTTTGTTACTGTTCTTTGCTATTCATAGCAGCACATGTGGCCATGACAGGGCAACAGAGGCAGAAAAATGCACCCCACCCCAATCTATCACAGTTTTCCACATAGTAATGTCTGAGTTGGTAGGGGCTAATAGATACATCCTCACTCTCCTCTTTGGACTTTATCACACAAGTATTAAAAAACAGAAGTTTAACAGAATAAATGTGGTTTTGGCCAGTACTTATTGCATGACATTGTGTCCATCTTGCTGCTGCCTTGCATTCCATTCAGTAGTGTTGTGCACCTTTTCATTGACAAGCAAAACCTGTCAATAGGCTCTCAGATTCACTGCTATTTTATTTCTTCCTTGGTGTGGTAGATCCCTTCCATTGCATTTCTACTTCTCAGGCAGTCGTGTAGTGTGAGTGGGTGCGATTCTGTACATCTCCTCCTTTCCCCTTCCCTTTTCAGTGATCACAGCTGCCAGTATCTTCCTGAAGCCAGCTCCTGTGTGCACATTCACACTGCAGCCAGCTTCAGGAAAGTGTTGGCAGCCAGCAAGACTTGTCCCCTGCTTCCTCCTGCTGTGTGCACATTCACACACCAGCTCTATGCTTTGGGAGGAATTTGGGAGGACAAATGATCCTGGTTGACAACACCTTCCTGAAGCTGGATGTTGTGTGCACATTCACATAGCAATTGGGTTCTGGTGGTAGTTGGCTGCCAGAAATGCTTGCCACCACCACCCCTCCTCCCAGAAGGTGATGTTCAGCATTGTGGAAAACTGTGGTATTGTGGGGAAGAATGTGATAAGAAATAATGCCAAGCTTGAATGCTTCCATTCTTAAGTTAGTGGGTTTGTGGTGGGACAGCAGTTTGGTGTGATAATGTCCTTTGCATGGTAGTAATAGGAAGGGGTGGGGGAGGAGAATGACCAAAGAGGATTGGTACATATCAAGAGTAGTGTCACGTGCTTAGAAGCAGCAAGTGCCAGGTAAATAAGGTTCTGGTAGGGCAGAGCAGTCACAGGAGAGTCAGAAGGAGAGCCAGAAGGAGAGGTGTAGTAATAAACTCTCATGATGTTCCAGAGTCACTCCCAAGAAACAAGCAGCCTGGAAAACCAAAACCAAAAAAGGGAGTAGAAAAACAAATTGTATCATTTACTGCAGGGCCAGTCTAATGTGTCAGGAGTTCAAAAATGCCAAACATCATCAAAACTGATCAACATGTTTGATCAGTTGTCTTCACTGCCAGAAATAATGCAGCTTGAGTCCACTTTAACTGCCCTGGCTCAGTGCTAGGGAATCATGGGAACTGTAGCTTTTTTCTGAGACATTGAGCCTTCTCTGTCAGAGAGCTCTGGTGTCACAATAAACTACAGTTCCCATGATTCCCTAGCACTGAGCCAGGGCAGTTAAAGTAATCTCAAGCTGCATTATTCCTGGCAGTCTGTAAAGGCCCTTATATCTGCCTGACCTTGGCAGCCAGGTAACCAATTGCATGGCATCTGGTATTTAAGATTGTGTATGAGGCATTGGCTCAGCATCTGGTCCTGTTTGGTGTGGTGTTCTGCAGAGGAAAGTGGTCTCTCTTTAGCATCCACCTGCTGTGACTGAAGTAGGTGCTCATCATCCAGACAGTCTACATTGTCTGTGTCTGTTCTTGGTTGTTCTTTCTTTCTTTCTTTCTTTCTTTCTTTCTTTCTTTCTTTCTTTCTTTCTTTCTTTCTTTCTTTCTTTCTTTCTTTCTTTCTTCCTTCCTTCCTTCCTTCCTTCCTTCCTTTTGGTGGTGGAGAGGGTCTGTCTTCTAGAACAGTAGGCTCTTCCTGGTCTGACTGTTGTGTATTGGATTCCAAAAATATCACAGAGTGAGTTATAATAGGTTGCCACTAATGTGACCCTCACAGCTGCTCATCAGTCATCTCAAGCCCCCTAAGCTGCTAAATAGTTCAAAATATTTGCTGTAGTGTTGGATTGATTTCCCCCTCAAAACTGCACCACAGCCACCCCAAATGCAGAAAAACACACACCAACAACCAAACCACTCAGAATCACACATATGGAGGGGGTGCGTCTCATGGAGAGGTCAGAGGGAAATCTCCCCCTTGCTTGCCCCAGAGTGTATATGTATACAGTTGCCCCTCTCAATTCATGGGGGGGCTGTTCCAGAACTCCCCCCTGCAAAGATGGTGGCTCGCTAATATTGGAACCTCATTGAAAATAATGGTGTGCGTGCCCATTACATGCACAGCCATTTTAGATATGGCAGTTGTCCCTCCCAGTGAAGAGTGAGATCATCTGCAACATAAACAGTCACTGCAATACTTCTGGATCACACTTCCCTTTCAGTTTACTAGTAAGGTAACTCTTCTATGAACTGCACAAATCATTTTCCCTTTCTTGTGCCTCTGCTATCTGAGTCTGTAAGAAATACTTTCACTGTCAAGCTCCATTAGCTGAAACTTCAAAGGACATCTGAGTGCTGATAAACCAGTCGCTGTCATCAAGATGAAGAGGCCAGAATGGGAACTGAATCCCACTTGAGGATTCAGGGAAGACCAGAGGCAAAACTCTGCTTGTTGTGTTTCTAAGTGGGGAAAATGTCAAAAGTAAAATTGAGGATATATCTAGTGTTATTTAAATATCTATTTAAAAAAGCATGAGTGTATTCACTTTAGGAAACAGTTATTTACTTATGGAATTATAACCACCAAGAGCCTTGTCATTTCTTCATTTTTCCCACCACCCACCACCTACTACCCTGGTACAAAGCATGTGTGGTAGGGCTGATACAGTTCATGTGCTGCCTTCTGAAAAGAGAACCAGTGTACCAACATGTTTGTTGCTGCTGCTGATGATGATGATGATGATGCTGTTGTTGTGTGCCTTCAACTCATTTCCAACTTATGGCAACCTTAAGGCAAATCTATCCTGGGGTTTTCTTGGCAAGTTTCTTCTAAAAGGGTTTGCCGAGCCAGTGTGGTATAGTGGTTTGAGTGTTGGTCTATGACTCTGTAGACATGGGTTCAAATACCAGCTCTGCCAGGAAAACACATTGGGTGACCTTGGGTAAGTCACACATTATCAGGTTCAGAGGATGGCAATGACAAACTAACATTTTATAATATTAAAAATAAGTTGAAGTGCAGTTAGTATGTCTGATGAACCAGGCATACAATGAGACCAGTATCAAAATCTACATTCATCCCAGAATTTCAGCACACCAAATTCAGTCAGGAATATAAGAAGCTGTCCTTATATCAAGTCTACCTATAGTCACCCATCACCTATAGTCACTCAAACTTTCCATGGTTTTAGGGATGGGCATGAATATCCCTTGTTATAGGCTACATTTCAGAGGAAGGCACTGGCAAAACCACCTCTGAGTATTGTTTGTCTAAGAAAACCCTATGAAATACATGTGATTGCCAGTATGTTGACAGACAACATGAAGGCACATATACAAAGACATTTCCCAGTCCTACCTGAACTGAATCTGGTAATTTTGCATGGCAGGCATGGGCTCCTCCACTGCACTATGAACCTTTCCTTTTTAAAACAAGAGTTTGTGATGCTATTTGTTTGTTTTGCTTTGCCTTTATTATACTTTATTGGTACAATTTAATCCAGAAGGTTACAAGGTTTTGCTTGACTTTAACAATAATTTTTGTCTAGTTTTTATGACCAACTTGTGTGTGTTTGTGTGCCTTCAAGTCTCCTGTTTACTTACGGTGACCATGAATTTCACAGTGTATTCTTAGGCATGGAATACTAGGGAGTTTTGCCAGTTCCTTCCTCTGAAATATAGCTTATAGCACCTGTACTCATTCATTGGTGGTCTCCCATCCAAATACTAACCACAGTTGACTCTGGTTAGCTTCCAAGATCTGATGAGATCCAGTGCCTTTAGGGTATTTATGCCACATGTACAACTCAGGAGGGGCTAAAGTACATTGAGAAGTTGACTGAGGAGTACTAAACCTTGATTGTGCTGAAATTTGTATTTTGAAAATCTGGGCTAAGTGAGGATATTAACACATGATGCTACACTTGAACACAAGATGTGCTCAGTCCAGCACTACAAAGAGAGAGAAAGAGCAATAAAATTTAGGAATGCTTGAATTTCTCCCTATTTTAGTCAACAGCCTTTTTTGTGTTAGTTTGAGAAGTGTTGCACTGTTGTGCCTTGCTAGTTAAAGAACATTATCTGTGATTTCATAGTAAATGGAAACAGAACCTTATGTAACTCTGATGGAAAATATATTCTGTATGTGCCTCATTTTTGAGAAAAAAACTTTCTTTTTCAACCAGAGCCTCTTTTTTGACCCCAAAACACTGAAGCCTTGCAGAGATCTTAATGGAAAGCTTCCTGTGATAGCTTTATTAAATAGTGATCTAATTTCTCCTTGAAAAGAACATGTTTTAAGAAAAGTTCATTGTGGTGTGCTCTATTTTGTGCTGCACTTTTGGCCTAGAAGAATTAAACTGGAATTCTAGAGGGACAGGTTTAAAATAAAGCACTACATAATGTTTTTTTAGAATACGTTTTGTTTCTATTTTAAGTGGTTTTGTGATTAACACATGTTCTGTTCTGTTTCAAGACTCTGAAATATGCTTATACATGAATGTGTGTGTGGATATATTTATTTTGTCTTTTTTTAATTTCTAGAGAAAATTCCCTTTGGAAAAAAAAAGTTTTACTGCAGAGCCACTGGAAAGAAACAATATTGCCCATTCTTGGAATCATAGAGTTGGAATAGACCTCAAGTCCAACCCCATGCCATGCCTGCTTATACAGTATAACTGATTTGATCTCTCTTGCTTTGCTTTACTTAACATGCATTCTCAGCCTTCTAATCTTGTTGTGAAAACTGTGGGAAGACCTCTGAAGAGCCATATCTCAGTTAACAGAGCCTCTGACAAAAGACGCTCAGTTTTTACAAAGTCTTTTTCTGCCTGCCCAGTTTCCTTTCCTAATTGTCTTCCATCTAACTGGAAGGTATTTTTATTATTTCTGTTTTGGCAGTAAAGGTATTGGCTTTAGGAGGATGGTGAAGGAGGGCTAGAGAAACAAAGGACATTATCATATGAGCCCCATTTCACCATAATCATGTTAGTTAAAGAAAATGGAAACATACTAGTTTGGGAGCAGCCATTATTGCAAGTCTCTGCAATAGGGCAACTGCAGATGTTTTTGCCATCAACAGTCCCTAGTCCTCTCTGCTACATTCCCCTTAACCAGAGATTGGTTAAAGAAAGAAAAAAATCCCAAAATGCATTTTGGAAGAATCTTTTGAATGGTTTCTAGAAGGTTGAGACATGTTTTTGTTTACTTAAGCAAGGCTTAAGTGGCCTGATTATTTCATTTCACATGTGTATATTGTAAGCTTTGGATAATGGTTTGCTGAAATGTATTGAATTGCTCTTTTTTGTGGTGCAGGGACCAATTCTTATTCTTTCCATGCTATTTTTTGCTATTTTTTTGCTTTTCATACCAACTTTTCTTTTAAAAAAGCAGTGTTTTGTTCACTGCAGTATACCTATATTTTAAAAATTTAAATTTATCTAGCTTTTGAAAAATTAAGCCCTCTAGTCCAGTTTTTGTCTCTACTGGATGCTGAATCATCTCTTGCTCTGCTGCTTTTTTCATTTGCATTTTTTGCTGTATGTAGTTTTTAATTTTGATTATGTAATTCATCCTGATAATAGAAACAGTGAAGGATCTGGTAACAATGACCTCAATAAATAAATGACTTGCTTTAGTTTAGGCTAATAAGCTAAAGTATGTTCTTTTCTAATTTTGTAGTTTAAAAGCAACTGAACCCCAACCCCAAACCCCCATTTTATGTAGGGGAAGAAGGGTAAAACTGTATTTTGAATGTGAATGAACATTCATTAACTTCCATTACAGCCTTCTACAACCTGAGACCTTCTTGAGGTGTTGACCTACAACTTCTATTGTCCCCAGCAATATAGACAATGACAGTGCATGATTGCATTCACCACATCTAAAGGGCTCCCCCTTTCTGGAGACTATTGTATTATTTAACAGTGGTCCACTAGTCACCAATCCTTCAACTCTTTATATACTTAAAGGATTTAGATAAGTTTGAATTAGGATTTTCAGCATCCAAATAACTTTCCCAGATTGCAAATGTTGTTTTTACTGAACACTCCAGGGCTCTGTAAAAAAAATCAAAGAACATTGGAGCTTTATGTGTAGGAAGTCAATAACAACCTCCCCCCCAAAAAAATTAAACATGTATAGTCCAGTGCAGCTCTGTCTGGTTAAGAAGTATGTGAACAGTATAGAACTAATGCCAGAGAGAGAAATATAGGATTGTCATGGTTCATCTCAGGTGATAATGTAAAGACAAGCTAAGGCAGTATCTGCTCTACTTTTGATCAAACTATGAAAAGCAGGAAAGGCTGAAGCTGTTCCTTGTTCCCAGTTTTTTCTTCAGCTCACAGATGTAGATGGGAGGTGATCCATACCACTCATACCATTCTTTCTGACCTCTCCTTTAAAACATAGGGGAGCTCAGAACAATTCTAAATCACTCACCCTGCTAGCAGGAGACTCAGGCTGCATCTGTTCTGCTCTGGTGTCACAACAAACTACACTTCCTAGGGGCCATTCCCACTTACATTTACACTGGTTTGTGAATCATGTTGACACTGGGTGGCTGAATCGATCGAGGCCAATTCACTTCCACTATGGAAGTGAATTTTCACGTTAGACTATGTAGTTCCCACTAGTTCCTTTATGCCACAGCTTGGGGGGGACCATGTTTGCTGGGCTTGTAGATCCTGCAGTCCACCTCCAGATGTAGTTGAACTCTAAGTCCCATCAAAGAGGGTTTTCAGGGGGCAGAGCCTGGGAAGAGGAGCAAGGAATGGTCAAAAGGGCCCCTTGGCTCTGGGGGAAATCTTCTGCCCTAGAAGGCCATGTGAGGCTCCTCCAGCTCTCTTGGCCTTCGGGGGGATGGGGGGAGGCTAGGAAAGAGAGAGAAGGCAACTCCCAGAACTCTCTGGGGCCCCAATCCTGCACAGCTGGAACCTAGAGGCACCTCAAGGCAGAGGCAGAACCAGCCATGCCGGAAAGGAAGGAGGGAGGAAGGGAAGGAGGGAAGCGGCATCAGCCCAGGCCAAGGTCAGCAGAGAGGCTCCTGGGGCTGTCCACCAGGAACTGGTTGAGCCTCCAAGGAAGGGAAAGAGGGTTCCCCACCTCATCCACCCTTTCTGCAGTGCCCACCTGGTCAGTGAAGTCCTTGGCGGAGCTAATGAGTTTGTTCTGTCCCATGGCCGAAGTGGCCGTAGACATGTCCAGGCAGGTGATCATTTGGTCAGTAGGGCGCATGGCTTCGCTGGGGGGCAGCAGTGGAGGAGGACAGTGGAGATGAGACTTTCCCCAAAGCAACCGAAGCCAGCTCCCAGTAAGTGTAACTTTGGCTAGATGCAATTCAGACCACACTTGTTCACACTTGTTGAACACGCTTCTGAATTGCTTCTTTTCAAAAGAACTGCCAAAAACTGGTGTTGGGAAAGAGTGGAGTTTTTGCATTTGTCTCACTTCCTAGTGATTCTGTTCACAGTCTCATCTGAAACTGTTTCCAATGAGAACAAGGCACATATACTGCGATCAGCAATTTGCTTTAAATCATAGTAGGAATGAGCCCCAGGAATTCCATCACACTGAGCTATGGAAGTTAAAATGGTGTCAAACTGGATTGTTTCTGCAGGGCAGATCCAGCTCCAGACTGTGAGATAGTGGAGCCAGAGCTCACAGTGTTGGAGCACTTGAACCTTTTGATCAAAAGGAGTAAAAATCAAAATAACTAAAAGGAGCAATGATGTGATGTCAGCTGAGCTCCCATTTTGGGAGAAAGGCAGGATATAAACATAATAAATAAATGAAATTCCCCAGCAGCTGTAAGGAAAACCTATGCATTGTGACTATCCCTCTTGGAATGCAAAACATTTGGGAGTGGCCAGTCCTTAAATGGACTATTACAACCCATTAATCTTTTTAAAAACAAGCACCT